AGCCAGGCTCCATCACACCTAACAGGGATTGGGGAAGAGAAATGTGATCATTCTGAGCATCCCTCCTTCCCATTACCTCTATCTTATTGAAGGCACACTGCTGAGTGGTGGCTACTGATGACTAACATGGGACTTGGAAATATTATCCATGCATTTTTTCACAGATATTACTGCAATTCTTCATAGGAGTATTAGTCAAGGTTGTCCACAGTTACACCAATCTGCAGCCTCTGGGAAGTATTTTCAGCACGCCTTGTAAATCAAAAGTAGTTTTCAGTTATTTCTGGAGAGAAATCTTTCAGGTTTGAAAACCCATTGTAAGTTTCCTCCTATAAAAAAATACACATCATCAATGTTTTACCCAATAGAATGGATCAGGGATTCTGGTGAAATTTTGGCTTAGCCAGGGTCTAATTGTCATTGAATCTTGGCTGTTTCATCTCTTTGAACAAAGCAAAGAAACTCAAAGAGACAACTCATCTATGACTGTGGTTCAGATCTGCCTTCAGACAAGATAACAGATATAAAGAGCAAGTTTATGTCACTTTCAGCATTCTCTCTCATCTCTTTAAGATCCAGAAGAGCAAGAGCTTCATGCTTTCTCCCATTGGTTATAAATAACTCCCTGAAATTTAGCAGATCAGAGATACATTTGAAGGTTCAGTCACTACAGATTCAGGTAGGATGTCCTTGGATGTACAGTTCCCAGATTATTTTGCATTGAGGCTCTACCAGGACACTTTCATAAGTTGAAAGTTGCTTACCCCACTTTGGGAATGGTATGCTCATATTTAACTAAAGGCCACATATAAGGATTTTAGCTAGGTACATTGCTAAAATTTAAATTCCTGTCCTGCTTATATTCAGATATGAATAAATCATATACTTCTTAGAAAATAAATCGTACATGGGAGCAAAATCTTCCCTCTTAAATCTATGAGCATCCTTTTAGATCAGAGGAAAATTGCTACAGAAAAGTTTGCTTGAACCTGTATGGCTCAAAAGCTCTCACTTGGTATGCACCTCATGCACAAAATTTCCTTCTGCTAAGTACATGGAACATAGGCTGTATCTGGTTTTAAGTTGTTTGATAGCAATTGCATTGTTCAAAAAAATTTTATGACATGTCCTTTTGCTCTGGTGATGATCTGTTGTTCTCTCATGTTTCATTAAGCTATTATTTGTAAAGTGTTTTGTGATGCATTGCATGAAAGCTGCAATTTAAGCAATTTTATGGGCTGAAGTGACAATTCAGGTATCAACGGGCAAGGATTAATGATGCTAATTATTCAAAACAATTGTTTCTTTCTTTAAGTACTTTGTTTAGAGGGAGGGGCAAATTGAAATATGTGAGTGGATGTTGCATGTAAGAGGTGTAAACATTTCTGCTGATGTAGATAAAAGAGGAAATCGAAGAACATGAAAAATAGCTCCAAATAATATCTATTGGAATACGACTCCTATATGTCATGTAAATTACTCAATAAAATAGGACTGTGCAAGCTACAGAGCAAAACTAATAACAAATCAAATAATCCATTTGCCAAATATGTAAAAAAGTGCAAAAAAAATGCATCCTTTATCACCTTCACCACTGACTCTAAACTGCAGCAGGTTTGCTGGACTGTGCTATGCTAAGATTTTCAGATGGAGGAACATGTCTATTGACCCCAGCCCAGTTCAGAGCAATCTGCTGAAAAAGTATTAGCCCAGTGAAGAAAACATAGCTACTGGTTGAAAAAAATCCAAGAGGTTACCTGTGTCTGGGACAGGGACAGGTTCTCCAGGCCCAAAATTACATTGTAATCCATAATCCTGGATAATCATTGTGGTTCCTTATTCACAGCAGCATGGTACCTCCATGTTAAGTAAAATCTGTAACAACTGCCAGCATCAAGTACCACTCAAATATAAGGAGAAATACGGTTTATTTTTCTGCTTTTGCTTTGCTTTGGGGTAAAGGATACTCCAGCCTCAATGTGTTGCTTTTTATCCTTGATGGTAGGATTCAATTTCTATCAAATCAATTTTTTCTTGAGAATATGATTTTTTAATGTTTATTAATAATGGATTTAGTAGATTGTTACCTAAAAGTGCAGGTTCTCTTACTCCCTAGAAAAGCATACACATCTAGCTACAGAAACCTGACAGAGCAAATGACTTCCAGTTACCACATGAGAAACTATTTACAAGATCAGGACTAAAATAAGCAGCCACCAAGCAGCAGAGGAATTTCTTTTTACTGATCTACATGCTTTTCTCCCTGTGATTTCCTCTAAGAATTTAGATACTCACCAACCTTATGACAGAGGAGCTCATGCCCATTTCAGTACAGAAAGAAAGTACACAAGAGAAAACTTTCACTGTGAGGGCAGTCAGAAAGGAAACAGGGGCAGGCTGTCTGAAGCTGTGCAGTCTTCATCCCTAGAGATATTCAGAACCAAATGTGACATGGTCCTGGGCACCCTGCTCCACTTCAGCAGAGGAACTGGAGGAGATCTGAAGAGGTCCTTCTTCATTTCAGCCATTCTGTGATTCTATGAAATATCACTTGAAGGATCTCAGTCTTTAGTGACCTGGTTTGAGCAGTGGACTGTGGGGTGCCCAGGATTCCACAGCTCAGGGGTTTATGTTCTTGGAAGCTGTCATTTAACCTCAGTGGGCAGCTGAGCCCCACACAGACACACACTCAGTGCTCTGCTCTGTGCAGTGGGGGACAGGATTGAAAGGGTAAAAGAGCAAGGACTGGTGGGTTGAGGTAAATTCAAGCAAATACAACAAAACCCAGAAGAATAATACATATTTTTTAAACTTTTAGATAATGTGTATTTTGGATTCCAATGTCTGGCACTTTAAAAATACTCACCAGGAGACTTACATTTATTTTTTTTTTCTTTATTGTCATTCTGAAATGAGTTCTACATGTATTGTTTCTTTACATGAGAAAACAAGGATAGATTCCACACTGAATTACAATCTGTTGTTCAAACTTCCCATTCCCCTGCAGTGGAGTTTTACCTATGATGATCTTATTTAAGGCAGATGAATCTACTCTGTATCAGGCTATAGGACAATAATCTTTAGGAATCCAGTGCAAGTTCCCATTCCTGCTTGTGTTCACCTCACCTCACCAAGGTCCTCTGCAGACGGGAAATGTTTGCACAGAGGATTCCACTTGCACTGCCTGCTGTATCATGTCCTGTACTGCCACTAGGATTAGCAGGTGGAGAAAACATGAAGCACTTTCCCTGTCAGACTGTAACTTTCTAAAGCCAAAAGCTGTGTAACTGAAGTGCCTTCTCCTTGTGGTTTTATTTATTGCCTGTGTTAACCAGATTTGGGAAGACAGCTCGGGGAGGTAAGCACAAACTTTCTGTATTAGCCTACTTCACCCATTCTTTTTCTCTCTCCTGCTAGTTCCCCAGGTAGTGTCTGATACACCAAGAGATTTTTCTTTACTGGTAACCACAACTAAGAACATCAACCTGCAAGAAAAGTCAATCTTCTTTACATAAAAAATGCCTTCAGCAAAGACATGTATGTTTCCATACAGTGGGACTTGCAGGCTCACCTGTTAACCCCCTACTTCCCAGGCATGCATAAGAGTCTCTGCATTTCTGTGCTGTCTTGAGAATGATTTGTTCACATTGTTCATTGGTGATTAAATCCTAGACAAAACTGAACAACTTGCAGATATGACAAATCCAGTGAGAACACAAAGTGAAGCTCCTGTTTCTTTCCTATAGGCTTCACATGGGAAAAGAAGATGCTGCTCCGTAAGGTAATGAATCCAAGGCATGACCTCTGTGCCTGTGATGTTCTACTTGTCTCCTACTAGGGCAGAAAGAAAAGAAGAGTTGAGCTGAGGGACACACCAAGGTATGACAAGGGTGGTTAATTGCCTGCCCTGCTTTCCCCAGCAGCTGTGGGCTCAGCTTGGATATCTCCGAAGCATTTCTGCCTTTTGGAAACCAAGGTAAGTCATAGCTTGTGGGTGCAGGGCCATGGACTAAAGCATGACCTGGTTACTAATAAAATCAGGTAATTATTCCCTGATGGTTAGTGTGTATTCATTATAATGTGTATTTAATGCAAATTGTTCAAATGATTTTAATTGTGTTCTCTCCTCCCTACGCACACTTAACTTCCATTGACAGGGAGATGAGAACAGACCCCCTCCTCTTTCACTCATTAGCAGGTGTTACAAGGATTATTCTGATCGGGGAAGGTTTCTGGTGCTCTGCAATGATGTGTCTGACTCATCCCCTATTGTAGCAAGTAGGGAAGGTTATTTTTGCAGTGTTAATATGGAAAAGCATGTGGAAAATGTAATACTTCAAAGAGGTGCCTTCTGTGGGAAGTCATTGCTAATTAGGTGGTACGTGGGTGTCATCTGGGTCTCAGTAAACTATAGGTCATGCCAATATTTGAATCCTCTGAAGATTTTAGTGTAATTAGGGGGTAATAATTAGCATTTCACCTTTAATTGGGAAATTGTGATTAACTGTTTACTAATCTTTTTAATGATTTTCAGGTTTTCTAGAATTGCTAAGTTCCTTGCTGCTTTCAAAGCTGTTTGCCTAATGACAACCCAAGGGCATGTGGAAATCTTATTGACTATCACAAATAGTCTCCATCACTCTGATCCAGACAATTACTGTCATCATCTCTTTATGCTGAAATATCTTATGCTGAAATGTCTTTATCCACCTGAGATCTGAACCATATTGTTCTAAGTTCTGCATCTGAATACAGAAAGACAGGTGCCCTGTCTAACATAAGCAAAAATTTGAAAGGGAATCAGGAGTTTTAACTATTTTGCAGAGAGTCACTTACATAATAAAGAAGATTCAGGACTAGAGAACTGAAGGTATCAGACTGACTGTTCCTCCCAGCCAGAAATGTGAAGAGTATCTACTCTTCTCCCAGTGGGTTTTAGAGAGATTCATCCCAGGATGCCACACAACTTCTTTTGAAGGAGATACGCAGTCCACACAGACATGGTGAGTACAGCAGGAGACAGGTATGTGAGCAAACTCTAAACCAGATAACTTGGGTACTAATTACACCATAGTCATAACTCAGTCCTCCTGGGGCTCTGGAGTCATCTTGTGCTAAACTCCTTGATGCTATTCAATCAAATGCTCTTTTGGGTATGTGCCCAGAGCCACAGTCACAGTTTTGATTGATACAAGTTTTACCCATATTATGAAGCTTTTCAGTTCTTTCTATTGTTGGGTTGTGTGCAGTATGAACCAAGTGCAGCAGAGCTGTCCTCTGAGGCTGCTACTCCCTCACAGAATATCTGTCCCTGTGCTTGTGCTATGGACATTGCTGTCTTGTGATCAGCGCTGGAAATCAAAATTCACTGAATTTGGCAGATTTATGCTTCCTGTGAGAGGAGTACAGAATCAGATCATTTTCATGGAATTACAAAGTACTTTTTTTGCCCTGCACCCAAATGGACAAAAGTTTAGCCTCCAAGGACATCTGCCAAGCTATGCAAGGGGTCCATCCACGACCCAGACAAGAGTCCAGGACTCAATGCTCTCTCTGACAGGCCCTTGAATACCAACATATCCCAGGGTAAGGATTTGGAGCTCCTAAAGCTCCAAGGCATGGCTATTTTGATGTGATTCATTCATTGTGAACCAATCTAATAGCCCTCTTGCTTCCTAAGGAGACAGAGAGTTTTATTTTCTGATTTGATGTGTAAAGCTGACTGACACTCAGCAGGAATACTTGTCCCAAAGTAGGATGTGAATGCCATTCTGCAAGAAAATGGTACTGCCCTGACCATGCTCTACCATGGCTTTCCTCTTCTCATCTGCAAGCACAGAAAGTACATCATCCTCAGGTGTCACATTTCCATTAGAAACACAGCGTGGTTCCCAAAAGCCCTTGACAAAGTGGTGTCAAGAAGGACAGATTGAAGCCTCAGTATTTTTGATTCCCTGATGACTTCACTGCCTTTTGGGCTGACTGTGGGATGCCCTCTTTGGGGCACTCCAAGGCACTTTGCTGTGTGGTGTTTCAGCTGGTGCCAGCCAGCAGGACCAGAGAAGCCTCCAGTGGCAGTGGGGGACCGACCTGCAGCCATCTCCTGCTCACCGCTCTCTGGAAGCACCAAGAACCATATGTTGTTCTTGGCAGGTGCAATCAGCAAGACTGAATGTAGAATCTGGCAGTGCCCTGCCCTCCCTGATGCACCACAGAAACCGGAGGCGCTGCCAGCCACTGACAGGCAGGAGATTGGGCCCAGAGCCATCTGTCCACACTTACTTTCTGCTACTGCTGTTGCTGATGCCCAGCAAGCTCCCACAGGCCTGCAGAATGAACTGCGCTTGACCTCGCAGAAAAAGCTGGTGCTGAGAGGGAAATGTGACAAGACGCTTGGAACTTTCAGTTTTCAAAAAAAGGTATGGATGTAGGAGAAAATTAAGGAGAAAAGGAAGAACAGCCTGACCACCTACCTTGCTGGAACAGAGATATGTGTCACCATATGTGCATGCTGCAGGGCCTCAGGGGTAGTGTGCTTGGAAGAGAGGCAACATCACCATCCAAAAAATTAATAATAGTGGTGCAGATAAAGACTGTGGTATAATTACTCACATTAAAAGCTCAGCAGAGACAGCAAGTACTGAAGGTGACGTGACAGGTTCTGCTGGCCTTCCTGGTTTAGCCACGATTTTGCATAAAACATATAATTGGACTTCCCAGCAATGTGCATAAACACATATGTACAGTAGGGGCTGGGATAATGCTGAGGGAAGTTTACAGGATATGCTGAGGAGCAGCAGACAGTTCCCATAAACTAAATTCCCCTTTAAAGTAAATGCATGAAGGCACAAGGCCATGTCCCAGCAGCCTGAAACCCTGACTTTCAGATCAGCTTGGCAAAGCAACTCCAGATAGTCAGACTTGAGACAGCAGGAGTTTCAAAGGGATGAAAAGGAGGAAAAGTGAAAGATCAAAATTTACATGTACTCCATAATAACATGACAAAGCAAATCACCCCCAAACGCCAGAGAAGCAGCCAGTGACTGGAACCATTCCCACAGGTGGTTGCAGCCCAGGCCAGCTCCATGGAGGCATCTTCTTTGTCTCACACGCTTCTGTGTGTTTGTGAGGAAATGTCTGAGCCATATGGGAGCAGGAAGGGGACGCTGGGCTCCAACTGGCTGTAATTGTTGCCCAGGGACACTAGATGGAGAAACGCCTTTAGGGATAGAGAGTAGGTGAGGGGCTGTGTCACCATCCTTACAGGGAAAAACACGGGGAGTAAAATGCCCTCCACTCACCATTATTGATGCTGTTGGCTTTAAGTTATGCTTAAAAGCTTTCTGTTTTCGGATCCCATTACAGCTCCATGCAGGCCATTAGTTAATTAAGTTATTCCACCAGAGTCTGTCAAAGCTTGGATGTGTTATTACTGCCAGCTCTCCCAGGTTTCCCCTCACCTCTCTCCCCTTCACCCCTCATCACTGGCAGATTGCAAAATACAGTACAAAGCAAGATCCTGAGTGGATTACAGAAGTTATTTTATCCTTGATGAGTCTGAGCCAACACATCTTCCCTGTGCTAATTACATCAGATCACTACTTCCACACAACTGTACAACACACAGTTTTCAAAAAACGTATGAAAACATCATCAGAAGTCCTTGTCTATTTTTTGTCCCCCACAAGCATGCTTCTGCCTCCCCATGACACACCTCCTAGGAGTAGGAGTTTATTTATAACAAGAGAAACCCTCAATATGGAGCAGCCAAGCCATCTGTGCATTGTAGCAGCAAGGCACTGACATCCTCCAAGACATACAGGAAGAAACAAATTGGCAAAGCCAAAAAATTACTACCCCCACCTCTGTTTGCACCACTTTTTGTGACACCAATAGTTTTGGCTAGGAAACAATCTCCAATGGAACCCATAAATTCTTGCTTGAGCTCTGGGGTGTCTCATGGTGTCTGAGCTGATAGAACTCAAAGGAGCTTCAGAAGCAGAAATGACGGACCTGTTGAACAGAGCTTTTTAGCACAGTGTTCTACTGGTGTGGCTCCTGAGACCTTTATCATATTTGTGTTCTGCACTGTGCTCTGTCATTGCACCAGCCTGGCTCTACACTTGATTTTTGTTCATCACACTGCCCAGCCCTGTATCTGTTTGATGGCCCTAATGAGCTACTTGTTGATGCTCTAGAATGATTGTCGCAGTGACAGCCTGTTAATTAAAATCCAGGTGTGCAAGAGAATTCTGTTTATGAGTAAGTATCTATATGTACAACATGCATATGGTACTGGTGGCCTCTGAAGACTCTCTGGATGCAGCCCTCAAAAGAAGGGACACAAAGAGCTCCAATGCACTCGTTGCTGTGTGGAAAAGTGTGATGGGCTGGAGTTTCAAGGCCTGAATAAAGAAATAAGGACTGTTTATTATCATGTCATGCACTCAAAAAATTGTTTTTATGGAGAGTCATGTGCAGAGGGTTCTGACTATCAAATCAGTCTTAGAACAACACCAAGTTATTTTGATCAAGTAGCAATTGTTACTACAGAGAAGAGTAGACTCAAAGCAAATGATGAATCTTGGACTTGACGCAGGCAAAATTTGACTCTTAGTGTCACAGGCTTGAGGGTCATCACAGCAGCCTTCCATTTCTGGAATAATCCATACAGTTATTCACCTTGCTCTTGCTAGCTGCAGATTTTACAGCTGATAAAACCATGCTGCTGTACTTTTCACATGCAGCAAGCTGTTTGTTCTTCAACAGAAAGGGGACAGTACAGTCACCACCAGGTGATCCAGGTCTCATTTTACCCAGTGCAAAAGCAGAAGCCAAAGGCTGCTCAGAAAAGGGAAGAAGCAAACTGCTTTTGACAAGGGACAACGTTCTGTATTTAGACTTCTTATCAGAACATGTAACAGTTTGGGAATTTGCTTCTTACATTTTCTAAGAGTGTATTTTTAGCCTCACTGACTAAATTAGCTATCCTTTTTCCTTTCTTAATGTCTTCATGGCAAATCATAGACAGCAAGGATGCAGGATAATCCAGAATTTTCCCTTTATTGGATGCAAGTCAGGGTGTTCTTCATCAAACACCATCCAAGGTGTGGAGGCTTTATCAGTTAACTGGCCTTACAAATTCATGAAACTAATAACTTGTGGCTGCAGAGCAGTTCCTCCCAAGGCAAAAAAATTACTCTGTGTGGGTGTGTTTGAGCAGGAGGAGAAAGCTGGGAATGTCAAGAGGCTATGCAACAATTTTCTTGCTTTTCTCAGAGCCAAGAAGTTTTTTATTATGAGATATTGGGATGATGTCAAGTAGACTGAATTACAGACAGGTCAATGAAGAAGGTCTGAATTTAACTAAAATCATAGAGGGAATGAGATGGAAATTGAAAGCAACAGAGACTCTAAATCCAGCTGCATTAAAACTCAGTTCAGGATCCCACAGGACCCAAAAATTCCTCAAGAGTTGACCATGAAGTTGAGAGCAGCCATTGCTGCAGTCATAAATTGTTAACTGAGCTTGTGATAGCTTGTGTTTAAAGAACAAGTGAAAAGCAAACCAGTTTAGAAGTAATCCTTAAATAAAGCTCTTGCAGTGCTTTAGGACAGATTCTTCTAATGTGAAACTACTGAGACTTATCATTGTTCTTGTTAGAAAAAGGGGGCAAAATGCAGAAGGTCATGTAGTCTTTCTCCCTGCCCTAAGACAGCATATGGTCTGCCTAAAATAACATCAGACAGACTTGCAAGAGGGAAAAGCCTGAAAAGCAAATACTAAAACTCTGAAACCTGTAGGCTTGAAATTAAGCACTGCATTTGCTCCATAGATACCACATCTTAGAGATGCCAGAGTTGAGAGGTATTCAGTGCCTGGACACAAGGAAAGGCACTGTAACTTGTGATTCTTATCACCTTCTGTGTGGCTGACAGCTACAATGGCAATGGTAAAAGGCTAGGAACCAGCCAGGAGTGCCTCATCAAGACATTTGCCTTACAGCACTGGAAGAAAACATGTACAGAAAGAGGCAGCTGGATGGAATTTAGCCCAAAGGACTGGACTTGTAGCAAGTAGAAGAAGCACTCAAGTTCCAACACCCCAAATAGACAGCAGCTTGTTCCCAGCAGTTTGGGAGCTATTCAGGACCATAGAGTATCCAAGCTGAATATTTCCTTCTTGTGTTAATTTGGCAACAAATTGCACTGCTTTGAGTACAATCAGCCTTGTGGCCCGGGTACAGCAATGAAGCTGCAGATGTGATGAAACCTACTTGCATGGCCACACCAGTGGTCACAGCAGGTTGGGCACATTCTGGGAAATGGGTCACTTTAGTCCTACATGACAGTGGGCACAGACCCTATGGATCATTTCTTCTGCCTCTCCACAGAAAGGCCAAGTGTATTTCTGATCCCATAAAGTGGTGGCATGATCCATTCATCAGTGGATCAAAATTACAGACTTGACTGAGCACTAAAAGACACAAGTTCTCTTTCTCACTCTGATGGGAAAACAACTCAGCCTCTTTGCCTCTATTACTATTTCCAATTCTTTTTCAACTTCAAAAGTTGCTCTTATGGAGCAGGAGATGTTTTTCAAGACTGTGCCACTGGTGCAATCTGCTGCTCACCAGCTCCCTGCTTGTCCCCATTCCTCCCTGAGGGCAACCAAATCTCTCCCCCAGTACATCCCCGTTTATGTCCCGATGTCACCCTTCAACTGTGCTGGTACAGCAAAGAGGGAATGATGAAGCTGGGCTGTGCCAAAGCATCTCCTCCCCTTTCCTTTTGTTGTTGCTTGGTGTTTGGCACATTTTCACTGTGAAACCCCAGAAACAGTTGGGGGGATGGGGCACTGGTGTCCCAAATGGTCAGGTCCAGGAGGGGCAGAAGGAAGAGAGGTGGGTGGGGGTTATGCTGCATGGGTGTAACCATGCTCCCACTGTGTCTGCAGGGCCTGGTCCCAGGGCAATCTAATCTGGGACTTCTACTGGTTATTAACATGGAGTGATGGGCTGTAAGCCCACGAGCACACTGATGCTCAGCATGAAAAGCCTCTCTCTGTGAGATGGGTTTTCTCAGGCCACTGTGAAAAGCCTGACTGATCTGAGAGTGCTCTGATATTACCCCATCCAACCTGACCCCAAATGCTCGCAAAACAAGCACCAAGCGCCCTATTTTCCATTGCCTGTAACATCCCAAAACAGTGTCTGACTTCTCAATTAGTCCACGAGAGGACTGCAAACTTGAAATCCAAACTGATGGACTGTGAAATCCATATCACATTGTCACCCACAGCACACTTTCCCTGCTCTGCACTGAGCTATAAATAGACTTTCATTATTAGCAAGCAGACAAAGGCAGCCTGGAAGATGTTCCACGCTGACACTACTCCTGGCTTATGGATTTTTTGTTT